CTACAGCGAGAATAAAAGTTACGCCTTCTTTCTTTGCGTGAACATTTGGGCGGCGTTATGCAAATCTTCCCACATCGTGACGTAGATATGTGGGGGTGTGTTAGAACGAGCCGTTTTAGGTAGGTGTGGCTGACTCTTAACTTTTATAAAGAATATCTCTTTGGATTTGAGACTTTAGTCTTTGCAACTTTACAGATCTTCTTTATGCACCAAGAGCTTGTAACACTCCAAAGAGAAAGGAAAAATTTAAATTGCATCATATGACCCCTTTAAAAAAAGTTTTAAACAAAAATTACAAAAAGTCTGGAACAACATGAGGGTGAGTATAACAAAACTGCCATGTTTAAAGTGATTTTTTTTCTGTGTGGAGCAACATTTAACACTGCCAATACTTACTATTTTTGTCTTGTTTTTCAATATCTAAAAATGCTTAAGTCATTTTCCTTCTCAAGTAAGTGCAGTGAAAACTGTTGCTATACTCACATGTAAAAATGAGATGACACTCACTGCCCAATGAGTGGATAATTTCTGAAACTCTCTCTTGATCACTGACTCAAGTGCATCTTGGGAAACCAGTGGTCCATCAATAAGAGGGTCATCGTCGGTGCTTTGTGTAAAATCTACATTTGTGTTATTCTGGCCACAAAAACAAAGGAGACAAATACAGGTTAGATTGTAACAGCCATGTCATCCATATACTACAGCCATTAGCTGAAAGCTGCTTTGCAGGCATTAAATGTTACTTTGAAGTCATGCATTTCAAAGTGCTAATGCATAAACTGTATTAGGGCCTAATAATGACTCACTATTTGACAAATTTTCTGTAAAAGGCTCCTTTGACCAGTTAAACGACCTAGGGAATAGCGCCATTATCAACACATTTAGAGATACGAATAGCAGCCAGCCAGCCACATTAGAAATAAGACCTAAGAGTAACTGAAAGGAGGTTTTCAAGTACAGTGTATATTCTTCTTCTACTACATAAAAACATACAGACAAACAAAAACAACAGCAGCAGCCCAGACAAACACGTGTGTTACTTATTAGTACACATCAAAGCAACAGTCTGTCATATCAGGGACATTCGGAAATAGTTGTATTACAGCTGCTCTCGCGACCCTGTTTTCCTACACTAGAAAAACAGCAAAATGTTTATACGCACACCATAAGCCGATGTACGCTCAGACTCCATCACACTGCCTGAACATTACACATAAAGCCAAAAGGTCCAGATTTAAGGCAAAACGCCCGGACAAACATTTGTAAATTAGACTTCCGGGTTGCGGATATTACCAATCCTACTATGAGAAAGGGTTGTATTATGAATATTAATTAAGTTACGTGACCCTCATCATTCAGCCTGTTGGTGATTGGCTCAGGCTATTGACAGGAACAAAAACATGTCTCGTGAATATTAATATAGCACTGACAATTAATGATTTTTCTGTGTGTTTTTAACAGTATTCGTGTCACTTTGATTGTAAATAACTGAAAAACCAAAACACTAAAAAAAAAACTAATAAAACTAGGCCGCCCCGCGCTCAGGTATCATTTTAAGTTTAGCAGATAATAACGGAGTGTAATATATGATACAAAAAATGCGGCAGAATTTAACAAAGATAACAACTTTTCATTCTGTTCGTGCTTTTAAAAAGCACAAACGCTTTCTGTGTGAACGGTTCGTTTGTTTAGTTTACAGTATTGAGTTGACCTTTATAGTCACTGTTCAGCAATTCTTGATAGTCGCAGGCTTCAATATTAACCGTTACTGATTAATAATATTCATGATTTATATTAAACCCGGATCACATGGTCATTATAGGGCACAGCCTAATTAGTTGAACTTTATAATTAAAGGCTTTGAACTAGTGATCATAAACTCGCTTTGGATAGAGAAAGTATCCAAAGCGAGTTTATGATCTGTGGTTGCCAGAATTTCACCATAAAAATATGGATTTTTTACAAATTAGAAGATATTTTGAAGAATGTGAGTAACCAAACAGTTAATAATCCCCAGTGACTTGCATAGTATTTTTTTTTTTCATTCTTCAAATGATCTTTTATGTTTAAAGAAAGAAATTCATGCAGCTTGGAACAACTTGAGGGTAAATAAATGATGACAGAACTTTAAGTTTCGGGTGAACTATATACCAAAAACAACTTAAAACAGGTGGTGTCATACAGAGAATTCTAGGAATGTCAATTTAGAGTTTTTCACTATAGATTTAATGATTTTTTAAATAATGTTTTTAAAACTATGCATTAATTAAGATCTTTAATTTTCCTCATAGGTGTAATTTGTGTGTGGGACATGTCTTCATCACATTTTGACAAAGTGTTTTGGCAAATTTTGTCCCATTCTTTGAAAGTCAATGAAATTGTGCAGAAGGCTTACAATGCAAAGAAAAATCTCCAGTCCGTTGTTCTTCATAATTTCATTCATATATGTCGCACAAAATAACATTTGTGCCAACCAGACAGACCTGCTCTATAAATCGTGTCCCATAAATTTTGAGATTTATAAACAATAACGCAGCAGATTCTGTTAAGCACACAAACATACCATATTCACTTTTAAATTATGCCCCATTTTTTCTTTGTAAAATAATAATAATAAAAAAAAAAATGTAAATAAAACACTTTTTCTATTTAAAATCCAATAAATAGAGCCAGATTAGTCTCAGTTTGGTATTATTATTTCAGTCCAATCTGAACACAGAGAAAGCATTTTTTTTTAACTCATACTATCATCCATCATTTTTTTACTTAATCGTGGCTGATTTGTGGATTGTATCCCTTCAAAAAAAAAAAAACATTTTCCAGTTCATTTTATTTCCTATCACAAAAGTCACAAACAAAAGTCACCACATCTTGTACTATTTAGGTAAAGTTACATTTTTTAAAAAATGCCAATGATTTTCCTAAAATAAACGTCACTAAATCTCATCTCAATATATTTATGGTTATACTCTTTTTAATTGTGACTTTTCATCTAAACTTCAACTTTTGTGAGATTTATTTCACCTTTTGGAGCGGCCAAAAGTAAGAGAGAAAGGGAGATTTTACATTTATAAATATTTTTGTTATAAAATTTTAAGCATCATCATTATTTGAATGGAATACTTTCAGGTAAATTCATAACAGCAATAAACTATGAGATTATTTCAGTTACAAATACTGGCTTAAAAATACTTCATAAAATTATACAGTGTAATTCAAATGTATAAATTTACATAGATCATTTGGTTTTAATAAAACAAATTTTACCTTTAACATTACAAAAAAAATTATATTAAGAGCTAAATAGTGCTAGAAACTTGGCACTGCTTTGGCCATACAACTAAGTATATGCTACTTCAGGCACAAGTCTACTTGTGCATGTGCATATAGTGTATACAAATCATTAATATTAATATTAATATTAATTTGGTCAGGCTGGCAGACGAAGGCTCGTCTGAGCTCTCTGATCCTGATGTGGTGGGCTTGAGGTTTCTGCTGCCTTCACAGTGTCCCCATTACTTGAAATCGTTTCACAGAAATCCAAAGCTTCCTGATTCTATCATTACCATTTCATAGTCAAACTGTCGAAAATAGACAAAAAAACATACATACATACATTCGTACACACATACATACAAAACAAACAAAAAAAACGATGTTATAATAAAATATAGTAGTTTGCGTAAAATAAAATACTGATTAAAATGGTTTTGTTTTTTTTGTTTTTGTGCAGGGTACTACAGTAATCATGGCAGCAGACTTACCATCAGTTGGCTTGAAACCAAAGGGCTCTGCAACAAAGTGTGGTTTGGGATCAGCTGGCTCTGGGTCCGGCTCTGAGTCCTCTTGTAGAGGCACAAATGGCTCAACTCTGGTCTTGCAGCAGCAGCAGAAGGAGGACCACTTTAAGGCCTTCCATGTTTTCTTGAAGAATGAAGAGATCCCTTTCATCATCTTGTTCCTCAAACTGGTATGTTTTTCTAAAACAACAAAAATCATTCAGTTAATAGATTTGTTCAAAAAGACTGAATCATCCTCATATGCTAGTATACTGTGCTTGTATTTACCATCTACATAAATGTCCCACATTCCAATGTGATTTCAGTCTCACCTGTGCTGTTCTCTGCAGTGTCTACAGGAGGCGCCTCTTTGTCACCCTGCGCCTCCAGGCTCATTGAAGGCCCTGTTGGGTACATGTTCCTGCAATCTGAACATGCACAGGTTTCTCTAGCAGGACCATTCTGCCAAGCGCCACTTCGTTCCTCAGTGGAGGATATGTCGGTGCTAATACTTAACAGATCCAGGCTACTGTCAGTTCCACCTTCACCTATGAAGAGGTTGTTGGTGCTGTTAAAGCTCCATTCACCCAGTCTATGGACCGGTTTTATTCTCTGGATTCATCCATCTTCGGATGTGTCGCTGCTAAGGCTGCACTCATCTAGGCAATCAGCATCTTCTGTCTAATTGCAACAGGTTACAAAACAGAGTTAGTATTATGAGCATGTTGAAGCATGTAAGATCTCAGTATCACATTTTTAAGGTTTAAGAATCTACAATCTATAAATTAATCATCAACAGATGTTTTCATCAAGACACAACTTTATATGTAAAATCAATATATTTGTTGAATTCAGTAAGAGTACCTGTTTGCCATTAGATGAAGGGATTTCCTCATTCACTGTGCTAAAGCCTCCTGATGCAGCAATTCTCATTTCATAGCCAAACTTGTCAGATTCTGAAAAACACACATGCATAAACAATGTTATAATAATTTTTTTGTGTACAACAAGACAAAAATACAGATTTAAAGGGGTCATGAACTGAGAAATCAAAATTCCCCTGATCTTTTGACATAAGAGGTCATTGTACTATAAAAACATCCTGTAAGTTCCAGAACTCAAAACTTGTTAGTCTAAAAAGAGCGTATATTGAAGCCGATCTGCCAAAACGACAGGTTGTGGAATGTGCCACTTTATGATGTAATAGTGTGGCTAAACACCACCTCCGCAGAAGAAGATCAACGCCTGCTTCTACATCAAAGTACAAACACAGGTCTACGTATAAACCAAACTATAAAGATGGCTCCGAAGACAACAAGATTCTGTGCAGTGCCAAGCTGTGGAAAAACACAACCTTTGCATCGCCTTTCTTCTGATCCTAACATTAGGAAAGAGTAAATGAACTTTATTTTTAATGAAGATCCAGACCGCATCAGTGAGAACTTGGTCCTTTGATCACTTCATTTTACAGCGGATTCGTTTACAAACAAGGTACAATTCGACACAGGATTTTCAGAAAGATTGAAACTAAAAGGCGATGCTTTGCAGACTATATTGGATCCGACAGTAATGTCGCAACACACAAGTGTGAGTAACTTTGAATTACGTGGTCATTATTGCTTTTTCTGTTATTAAAGATTATTTGATATGTACTGAGGATTTATGCATTTAAACCTAAATCACAGCAGCATCCATCTGTGTAGGATGTAGGCTGTCAAACATGTTAGCCAAGCATAGCAGTGGGTGTTTACTTCTGAGTCTACAATCCGCCACGCCTATTCAAACAGAGTGCAATGAGGGGGGTCAAAAACAGGACAGAAAATAGCCTATTCTAAATTATGATGATTTTGATGTAAAAATCTTGATAACATTATAAGTGGACCTCAGAAAACAGTACAAAATAATAAAATGGCAGTTCATGGCCCCTTTAAAATTTTGTTTTTGCAGGGTACCATAGCAATACTAGCAGCACACTCACCATCAGTTGGTTTGAAACAAGAGGGCTCTGCAGGACATGATGAATCTGCACCGTCTGGCTCTGTGACTTCTGGTGGAGCCATAAATGGCTCCACTCTGGTCTCACAACAGAGTGAAGGATGCTTTATAGCCTTCCATGCCCTCTTGAAGAATGAACAGATCCTGTTCTTCACTTTCTTCCTTAGACTGATATGGTTTTCTAAAATGAAGAAGCATTCACTTAATTGATTTGTTCAAAAAGACATTCAAGCTCATGACCCCTCAGAATTTTGAGCTAAATAGACTTTGAATTCAGCTTGCAAAAGACAAAAAATATATATATTTTACATTTAATAAAGATGTTCTGTGATTATTGTAGTAGGCACAAAATGAATATAGCCCCAAAGTTGCCCCAGAGTTTTTGCATAAGCTACAGGTGGTTGGGGGAATCGGTACAGAGCCTCACACATGATATAGGGGAAAAAAATAAAGATAAAAAAATATATAAAATTTCAAGGACAACACAGAACAGCCTCTTACTCAAAAAATGCACTGTCTGATACATATATATTTTTTATTTAGGGATGGATTTTTTTCCTATAAAGAACAAATAGTTCTGCTGTTTTCCATACATGAAAATGGTAGGCGATCACTAGTGCCCCCTCAAAAAAACTTCATGATGCTCCTGGTATGTTGGTTGCAGACTCGCAATGCTTTGACTTTGTTGGTAAACTATTTTAATTGGCCATGTTTCTGATTATTATCCGTGCTGAAAACAGTTGTGCTGCCCAATATTTTTGTGAAAACTGTGATACATTTTCTAAAAAACAGCTCAACAGGTTATATTGTGTTTACATTTAATTTACTCTAACTTCTTGTGACTGACAGTAAAAACCAATATCACATGAGCGCAGTGCTTTTGTTTTAAACATCAGCACGGTTGTAATTAGGCCTACATGCATTTATTTAAAATTGCTTCTAGATATGCAAAATATGCAACAATGTAAAGGAATCTTAAATATGAGACTGTTGTAGGGGCCTTTATACTCAAGTGCTTCTAGATGCTTGTTATACTGTAGTGCAGATCTACATTTCCAAATTTTCAATGTAATTTCAATCTTACCTGAACTGTTGTCCACAGAGTCTACAGATGACACTCCTATAGATGTAGACTCTATAGAAGACGCTTCTTTGTCACTATGGACATCCATGCTAACCGAAGGCCCTGCTGCTTCTATAGAATTAGAGGATGTATGGGGGGGATTGAGGGATGTGCTGCACATTGGAGGACGGTGGACGATTAGGGTTTCACAAGAGGACATGCTGCTAATGCTCAGAAAACCCAGACTATCCTCTGTTATGCATTAACATGCTGCCGCAACACATTTGCGAATTCTGCCTACTGACAAATGATCCCTCGTCGGAGTACGATTCAAAGCTGACCACACTCGCCTCAATTTCATCTTCAGATGTGGCACTGCTAAGACTGGACTCCTCTATGTAATCATTACCATCTATCTCATCATAGACATTGATAGTGCCTAGATTGAACACATCCAGCCTATTGAAACATTCTAACTCAGTGGATAATGTGTCTCTCCTGGACCCATGAAGGCCATCAGGGACACCTTCACTCTCAGCTACACTGAACTCGGATGATGTCATTGACATGATGTCCAGTAGAGCAGTCAAATCTGAAAACACTATCTGTAGACTGTGAAAAGACTTTGTGTATGTGTGTATACTTATTGTAGAATACTGTCACACGCTAGACTTCACACTATAACTTATTAAATGCAAGTCGTTTTGAAATAAAGCGTCAGCCAAATGCATAAATAAATGTAAATATCAACTTGCTCCCGGTGTCTGATACTGATATGAAGCACTGTGACGTAATGGAATATTAATTAGCTGAAATTCAAATAATGCGAAACTTGAAATACGCGCAGTTCGAGTAAGGCGCGAGCATGAATTAT